GTGACAACGTAATTAGGGGAAAATAAATTGCGTTGCTAAAATAAGACTTTTAGCAAACCTGAAGTTTTAACATTAGAGTCCTTGTTCTTATACATATTTTTACCCGCATTTTGACAATTTTAAATTACAGTTGATGTTTTTTGTTGTCTATAATAGTACATAATATGGAAGATGCATTAGAAATTACCATTTTAGAAGGCTTAAATGATGATGATATTAAATATTTAATATTACAAAACTTCAAACATGCGAATGTCAGCGAGCGCACCCGAAAACTATAAAGTCGCCATCTTGCTGTCCTTAAACATCCACAACCTTTTTCTTAGGTTAGAAAACGATTTTTCATTCGAAGTAATACAAGACCTCACTTTAAATTTCTATCTCTTAATGTCAATAAATACGTAACACGATGAGTTTAATAGAACGTACCTATGTCGCAAATTAGCACGGTTGCAAATTGGCACCAATATATTTTTAAATCTTAACACAAAATTCCTGAAATAATTAGGGCAAATATAAAAGAGTGTATTTTGCGTTTTAGCTTTTAAATACTATAAAAAATGGTGGAAAGTCCATAACTTTTAAATATTTGTTAAATATTACGTATTAAAATATTATACATTAAAAGTAAAACAAACTATAGACTTTCCACCATTCTTTACCGTACTCTGAATCCATTTTTAAAAACAATTTTTCAAAATATTGTCATTCAGAGCTGTATTTTTTGTGATAAAAAAGTCACCGTCACATTGACAGCGTGTTGAACTTGGCCTTAAGGACAAGTATATCTTTAATAAAGTCAGTTCTAGAACGTAAAAGATCTGCGCATGCTCAGATGTCAAAATAAGAGCGGCGCTAATAGTGAATAGAGAGTTTGCAAGTTCACTTAAGGGTCAGTCACTATTAGTGCTGCTCTTATTTTGACATCTAAGCAAGCGCAGATCGTTTATGTTTTAAAACTGACTTTATTAAAGATTGTGCCTGTCCTTAATTGTGGATGTTTAAGAGCAGCAGGTAGTGGCGACTTTATAGCTTTCGGGTGCGCTCGCCCACATTCGTATTTGTTCGAAGTCTTTTAATATTAAATATAATCATCATCTAAACCTTCTAAAATTATAATTTCTAACGCCTCTTCAATATTATGTACTATTATAGACAACAAAAAAGATTAACTATAATTTAAAGTTATTAAAATGAGGTTAGAAATAAGTATAAGGACAAGGATTTTAATGTCAAAATTTCAGGTTTGCAATAAATCTGATTTTAGCATGGAATTCATTTGACTCTAATTACGATGTCACTATTAGTGGCTGGCGTTATAGAAATTTACATTTATCTCTCTATTGACCATAAGTCAACTTTCATGTAACTCTCTAATAAAATGCTTATTTTATACATAATTTACGAACGCTAAGAGAAAAGTTTAACTGAAATTTTCAAATTTTTAACTAACTTCACGTTACTATTTTAGATAAAAATATTTTACTGGAGTTTGTGTTTCTGGAGCAGTTAAACAATTTATTTGAATAGTTCAAATATCTAGTATAATTATCTAGTAATGCAAAATTGTTTTACTCTCACTACATTAGAATTTTGAAATTTTGTCTATATGCAACTAGCAGTTATACATAAGGGATGTGAAGATTACAACACACCACTACACCCAAATCAACATGTATACATCCCAGGCAGATCTACTGATTCAGCCATTTACCTAGTTGCTGTCCGGATAGAGATATCCTGGACAATAAAGAGCCTGCCTTAGGTGTTTTCTTGGACATACAAGGTGCTTTTGACAAGACCACCTTTCCCAAGATAGTACACTTACTAACCAACTTACCAACCAGATGGTATGGGTGGATACATAACATGCTTTTAAAGAAAGCAGTAAAAGTGAGAACATACTTTGAGAAAGAATGCAAATAGCTCTCAAAATTATAGAACAGTGGTGTAAGGACCATTCATTTTCTATCAATACTAGAAATTACCCTTTTCACAAGAAAACAGATACAATGGAACTAAAAACCTTCCATTTCCTAAACATACAACTAAACTTTGCAACAGAGGTGAAGTACCTAGGTCTTACCTTTGACAGCAAGTTAACATGGAACTTACACCTAGAAAACAAAGCCAAAAAGGATACATTGCTTACAAACAATGCCGCCAAACAGTGTGGCGCACCTGAGGTCTCTCCCCAGTTACATTGACTTACACGATCATCATAAGACCTATACTAACATGCGATGCAGTTGTCTAGGGTATCGAAAACCTAACAATTGGCCGCTATTCGCAAACAAGAACTAATTCACAAAACAGTATATTGAAACATAACAGGTGCCATGAAAATCATACCAACCAAAGCCATTGAAGTCATTCTTAGTCTCACTTCCTTTGATATTTACAACAAGGAGGTCGGAATAGATCTGGTGAGGCGGGACGTCACTTTTAGAGGGAGGCGGTCGATACGCTTCCACTGTTTTAAGCAAACAAGAGCCGGAAGTGGCACGTACGATTCATATCTACACCGACGGTTCTAAAACAAAACAAGCCTCAGGATGTGGAATATACTCAAGATCTTTAAATATAAACATAAAATGGGCTGTAAGTAGTGTGTCAGTGTAGTTCAAACCGAGCTCACGAGGATTCTCATAGCAGCAAAAGAAGTTATACCAGAAACAATACCACTAGAAGGAACGTGCTTATCTATACAGATAGCAGTCAATCACTACTTACCCCAGACAGACCACGAACCGTTGACCGAAGTATCTATCAAGAATGTAGTCCCCTTAAGATGTATAGAAGGTCACACCATATTGAAAGGTAACCGTTTTGCGCATTCACTAACCAAGAAGGCTGCCAACCAAATACTTTTTGGACCTGGCCCTTTATTGACTGATAACATCGGTAGTCATAAACCTAATTAAAGAACATTTCTTTGTGAACTAGGAAAAATGGGATGAATTAAGAAACTGTAGAGTTACTAGGGAGCTTTTACTTTATCTCGACAATGACTAGATCGACAGAATCTGCGTCTGATCACAGGCATTCTGATTGTCATTGCCAAGTACGGAAGCATGAGGATGTCAGAATCCGCACTCTATATGGGGTGCGAATACGAGCCTATCTCCTACGGTTGCCCGACTTTTTCATTACTAACACCGGACACCGGCCGATACAAGAGAAACACCTCTTGGAAACGTTGTCAACTACATCAAATCTATAGGCTGGCTGACGAGCTAAAAGGAGCCTATCAATTTAGAAGAATTCATAAGTGCCGTGGAGTAACCCACCCTCCACACGTTACAGATTCTCTTTATGCATTTATTTTTTATATTTTTCTCAAAGTAAAATACAATACGAGTATATGATTATGATTAGATAATGTTCAAATGTGTTTAGAAAAGAGCAAAGGAATTTAAATTATATAAGAAGGTAATTAAAATAAATTATCTACAATTATTCGGAGTAGTCTGATTATTGTTTGGAAAAATATACTTAGTACTGAGTAGGGTTTCATTTAAAACATTTATAGATATTATTGGTATAGTAATAGGTAGTAATATATCTTTATTTTTCGAATTAACTTGATCCTAAGAAGATGAATACCTATAAGCTAGAAGTTAGATAATTTTTAATTAATTCTTAACCTTCTTAGTTTAAAATTTATTTGCAAATATTAAACTATATACCAAAAACAACATATTAATGGAAGTGTACATTTACATTGTTAATTGTTATTTCTCGGCTCAAATTAAAAAGTTATGTTTAGGTGCTGTTTCATTCTAAAATAAAAAAGATCATATTATAGAAGGTATTTGTGCAATCGAATTAAAGGTAAGTTCACTTGTAACAAATAAAAAATTTGTAGTTTTTAATTATTTCTTATTCAGATGAAATACAAATTTTTAAAAACCTTCAAATAATTCCTATTATTCGTCAAATTCTAATTATGTACCATTTTTCGCAATTCGCATGGTAATATACTACAAAAATACATAGGTATATTTAAAAAACAACTGATCTACGTACCATAATTCTATTACACAAAACACATAGATTCTGCGGTCTTGGTATTTATGCAGATACCAGACGGCTCTTCAAGTAGCTCGGATCATGTCCGTAACAATGCGAATAATCAAGAATGTGTTTGTTTCCGGATGTCTCAACCAGATCGTTTAGAACAGAGTCAAAAAATAGCTGATTTGGGTTTTTTTTTAAAGAATTTATTTGAGATAGACACTTTGAATTTTTGAAGCGTTAGTTACACGTACTTCAGTTAACTTTTTAATTATAATAAATGTACCGATCGTCTAAAAACCAATTTACATGCAGTTAAACATTCAACTTGGGATGACTGTCGCTTTTCAGAACTTATTTCCATTTATCTGAAATTGTTACACGGTTTACTGTACTAAATAAATATAAATATAGCAGATAATTTTTTAACTGTTCCAGGTAATACAGGGTGTCCCAAAAGTCACTAGGTGGTTTAAAATGCTTACATCTTTTAAAATATTTGTTATTTTTAAAAACTTTTTTAGTAAATAAATAGTAGATTTTATGGAGTATATTTAAATCTAGTTCTTGAAGATCCGCCTAACATATTCTTGCTCTTTTCAGCGCGTTTTCCATGACGTGTTAGAATTTGAGAGTTTAAAAGCCTTTTTTTTTGTCGGATAATGGGGTCTATTCTGTAACAATTCCTTTATATTTAACGGTCTTTAAAAATATTTTCTTCTTTAATTCGGTCACTATTTAAACGGATCTTTAAAATACATTAGAGGATTATCTTAAAGAAATCTGTTTAAATAATGACAGAAGTAAATTAACGAATACGAACATATTTTTATAGGCCGCCAATATTTTTAAAGGCCGTTAAATATAAAGGAATTGTTACAGAATAGACCCCATTTTCCTTCATTTTATCAAGGATCCTGCGTTTATTCGTATGAATTTTCTGCTTAAGATAACCGCACAGGACAAGGTCTCGAGTTGTCAGGTCAGACGAACGTGCAGCGTACGGAATATCGGAAAATCTCTAAAATTATTCGATTGCCAAAAGTCCTCAGGAGCTGTATTGTTGCTCTGGGTATGTAAACTGTAGCACCATCTTGCTGAAACCACATCTCTGGCATGTTTTTCCAGAGCGGGACGTAAAAATTTTTGAAGCATCTGTCTGTATCATTCTCGGGTAACAGTTTCAGCATTGCCATATCCTCATCTTCGAAGAAGTATGGTCCAATGATGCGTTGGCTGGTGACTACACACCAAACTGTACATTTTATTGGGTAAAGTTCTCGCTCATGAACCACGTTTGGATTTTCTGTTCCCCAAAATTTGGAGTTCTGTTTGTTTACAAATCTATTCAGGTGGAAATGCGCTTCGTCACTCATGATTAATCTGTTCAGAAAATCCATTTCTTCTGTTGAAAACGAATGGCAAATTCAGTTTACTGTCTGTAATCTATAGGACGCAATTGATGAACAAGCTGTATTTTATAGGCAAACATGCGTAAATGCTTCAAAATTCTATGGTAACTGGATCGGGACAGCCCTAGCTGAGTAGAACGGCGTCTGATCGATGTTTCCGCATCCTCTTCTATGCTGGCCTCTACGTGTTTAATGTTTTCTCATTTTCTGACAGTACGTGGTCGAGCAAGCTCGGCTACAAACCCCTGTTGTAGAGAATGTGCAATTAAATTGCGTATAGTCATCTCCGAAGGAGAATTTCTTACACTGAAAAGTCTGCAAAACGCTCTTTGAGTTTCTGTAATTGGTCAGTGGTGTTCAAAATAGAGTTCCACAATAGCGACTCTTTAGGCAACAGTGAATTTCTCCATAACAAATCTCCCAAGCTTCTAGTTTCCAAACCTAAAACAAATATTTTAAAATAGTGATGGGTCGCTTTGAAGGATCCACGGACAAGTCCGATGAACTAGTCCAAACACACAAGTATGTGATTGTATTGTATTGCGCATTAACTAATTTGTCTGAATTTCTTACAAACAAAGGGAAAATATAGTTTTAAAAAGAAGAAACGACAAATGATTACTGACTTTTATATGTTTTAAAAATGTTTTCAAATTTTCGTTTCATATCTTATTAAAATTAACACGTCAAAAAATGACCAAAAAAATCAAAGGTTGGAAGTATTTAACAAATGACTTGCCTAATAAAACGAAAATACAAATGCAAATATTGTTTCCAAAGTGTTTTTGGAAAAAAAACATCCAGGATGGAGATTTAACTGTGTGTCTTCTATGTCCAAGGTCGACTACTTTTCATTGTTACTTTTCATTACATCTCACTACTTTTCCGGAATGACCATCGGACTAGTCCAAAAATTACTTGTCATGAAAAGACCCATCACTATTTTAAAAATTCTTACAAGTCAGAAGTTATTATATTTTTAAACCACCTAGTAACTTTTGGGACACCCTGTAATTTTTCAGATTATCTGTTTTCTTAGTGTATAGTCCCATCATCTATGCTTCATAACAATTATTTCCAACTTATACAGATTCTGGAATTGAAATGTGAACCATACAAGCCAAATCTATTAGGGACGAGCGTAAGTAAGAGTGAGAAGGAAGTCGCACGTATCGTGCGCGAGGCCAAATAATAGGTGATCCGCTGCTCAGTGGTCTTTGTTATATTTGTCTTTGTTTGTTTCATGCGTCGTCCTATTTTACCTTGTCCAATTCATTACAAAACAGAGGCTTTGTGTTTAGATTTTCGTACCTATATATTATCTTGAACTATTAATAAAGAATAAAATAAAGAGTAGGGTTGAACTTGTAGACAGTAGTCATATGATATATCAGTCAAAAAAATGTTCTGTATAATAATATACTCGTTCTATCGTCTTTTGAAGTATTCAAAATTATTCGTAATCATTTTTAAACAAATTCAGTTTATATTGTCTATGAATCATCCAGAATAATAATTACTTTTATACATTAATCTAATGTGTGTTTACAAAATCTTTAGAAACGGAGTTCAAGGATTTTAAAAATCCAAACCGTGCTTAAGGTGAATCACTTTTGTTACTTTTTTTTAGATAACAATAATATTATTAATATAATTAATTTCTCGTCAGATTTGCATTAGCAAACAAAAATTTATTTGGTATTAAAGTCGATTAATAAAAATCCATTAAAAATTAAAAAATAATACTTTACAATTATGTCAAAAGTGTGTCGTTTATTTGTTTTATTACATTAGTGCTAGACTTATTACTTCATTGAAAGGAAGTAATTTTAATTTAAAATTTTCAGATTATAGATTTACCGTCAATTAATATTCGAAGGGGGAGATATTGTACTCTCTCACCCTGCTATCATCCCTTCAATTTTTTTAAATGGCTTCCCCCATTTTTTTGTTCATTTTTGGATTATTCTCATTTAACTGATTTCAAAAATGTATAAAACATGGCTTTTAAAGTAATTAATTTATGATCTACCAGGGTTTCTTTATTTCAGTGATAAATTTTTACATCTCACCTTACTGACTGCAGCAAAATAGGATTTAAAATACATTGGGGTCTATTCTGTAAAAATTCCTTTATATTTAACGGCCTTTAAAAATATGTTCTTCTTTAATTCGGTCACTATTTAAACGGATCTTTAAAATACATTAGAGGACTATCTTAAAGAAATCTGTTTAAATAATTATAGAAGTAAATTAACGAATACAAATATACTTTTAAAGGCCGCCAATATTTTTAAAGGCCGTTAAATATAAAGGAATTGTTACAGAATAGACCCCAATATACCTTAATCGTACCACTAAAAACTTGTTGAAGTTTTTTATGATAGCTGGTAAAGGTTTAGGAGATTTAAAAAATTAATTTAAATCACTTTTATAGAGTATTTTGATTCATGTGCACATTGATTTGTTAGGGTTATTTATTTGATTTTAAAATGGTTTACAGTTTACAAGAAAGAATTGAGGTTTATATTAACTACAAAAATAACAGTTCTGCACGAGCTGCTGGTAGAATTTTCAATAAAAAACACCGTGGAGGTTATACAACTTATAAGTATGTAATTGATCTTATGCATAACATAACCGACTGGGAATCGTAAATAACGAAGCAATCGAAGTCACAGTTGTAGGACAAGTATTAAGTATTGAAAATTAACAACCACAGCCCCTGCCAACAATAAGCAGAGAAGTAGGTATTTCATATTACACAAGCACAAGTACCATCCATTCAAAATTAAATTGGTTCAAGAGTTGTACGAAGCTGATTTTAATAGTCGTCTTGAATTGTGTGAATTATTGAGTCAGTGCATTTGTTGCACAACCTTTGTTTTTGGACGAATGCACATTTTCAGTGAATGGTTTAGTTAATAGACACAATTGCAGTTATTGGGCTGTTAGTGATCCACATGTACATGAATACCACACAAAGAATCCTCAAAAGTTAAATGTATGGTTTGGTATCCTAGGTGACCACTTAGTGGACCTTTCCTTTTATACGGGAAGTTAAATACTGAATCGTATCTTTAATTATTGAGAGAAGTAATTGATCCACGTATTACATCAATAATAAATAATGATCCTAACTTTTCTGAAGATTTGCCTGCATTTCAACAGGATGAAGCATCTCCACACTTTGCTTTGCCTGTACGACAATTTTTAAATGAAGTTTTACCCTCTCGTTGGATAGGTAGAAGAGGCTCGATGATGGAGTGGCTACCAAGATCACCGGATTTAACACCCTGAGACTTCTTTTAATAGGATTATTTGAAAACAAAAATGTATGCTACCCAACCCGAATCTATAGAAGATTTTCTACAAAGAGTAATATCAGAGATGCTTTTCAAAATAGATTATACCATTGTATGGAGGTAAAATTTTATAATACTTTTGAAAATGAAATATACGTTTTATCACTGAAAACTCTTGTGATAAAATCATTAAAATAAAAGTTGTGCATAATTCAATTTTATTTTAATTTAAAATTCTGTAAATCATAAACTAATACCCCATGTTTCATACATTTTTGAAATCAGTTGAACGAGAGGAACCCAAAAATGCATAAAAAATGGGGAAACCATTTAAAAAAATTGAAGGGATGATAGCAGGGTGAAAGGGTGACTTTTTCAAACCTAAATAAGGCACAATATCGCCCCATTCGAATATTAATTGTTGTATTTTCTATTTCTTTACCTATTCGCTCCGTGCGTGACGGCAACGCCACTTAATTATGTACTAAAGGGGATTTTTCGTGTATTGACAATATTATTTTTATTAGAATTCCTAATTAAAAAATGTATTTTTTTGCTTTTAATAAAAGTATATTGATTTATAAAACTAGTAAAAAGATTCATTTATTATTATTATTATATATTTTTATTACTTCAGCTAAAGAAAAATAAGTAGGTATATTTAATAAAAAAATTATTAAAACATGTGCACAGAACAGGTAATTAGGCAACAGTATTTACGAGAAAGTGTATAAAAAGTTGCCTAATGAAGTTGAAGGTTAATGTCAAACGTGTATTCAAAATTTATTCCCAAAAAATAGTTTTTATATTGTAATATTTACGAATGTAATTTAAACTTGTTTTCTTAATTTTTAGTTTGAAAGAAAAAATAGAAATAATTATTAAATAACTATTTTCCAATCAGCCTGTCACAAAATTGCATTCCAGATACAGACAATATTCAGAATCAAAGGCAGAAATATTTCGATTTTGAACATGTACTTAAGGACTTTTGAAGAACATCGTAAAATAATAATAATTTAATTATAAAAACCTTTCAGTGTTCTGATGTCTACTATTTTCAATAGGTATTAGATACTCTTTTGTTACAAAAATAAAGGTTTGTAATTACTTTTCCCTTCTTACTGCAATTATATAGGTATACTTATTTCTTTGATTTAATTTTCATTTTATTCTACTGAACATTTATAAAATACACTGTTTTTTTGCTAGTAATTCTACAATTTACAACACAGCAACCGGTTGCTCATTGTATTGCTTTCAACTTTTTTTTTTAATAAGTAAAATATATACGTATATTTGATACGCCAAAATTTCAAAATATCGCCCTAAAGTGCACAAATTATCCACAGCTAGCGCTAGTATCGCTTTTGCTTCTCCTACCATGACTTCTGACTAAGCGAATATTATTTATATTATCAACACATTATTATGGCCCATAGTCCCAATTAAATCAACGATGATATACCTAAATCGTATATAAAAAAACGTTTATTAAAAATACTTAAAAAAAAATTAAGTCTGGCAAAAATCAAAAAGTTGTTTAGTCTTTATTCAGGCATATTTGGCGTTGTCCAAACATATCTGGCTCTCGGTGTTATTGCCAATTTGAACCTGTCAATCGTTTCTAATACGTACGCCATTGCTGCTATGAACCCAATAACCTACAACAAAATTCAAAGG